ATGGCTATAGAAGTTTTTTTTGTTTGTTTTTTGTTTTTTTAAAAAACAGGTCAGGAAAGAGTGAGGGTCCTTTGTTTATATTATCGAATTGGAGGCCACACTTGGCAGTGCTCAAGCTTACTTCTGGTTCTGTACTCAGCGATATCTCTTGGAGGTGCTTGGGGCCATCTGTGTGGGGGTTGGCTGCTTGCACGGCAAGTGCCTTAACCTTGGTGCTGTTATTGACCTATTATTATTTTGATGCCCAGATTCCCCAAGTTGTCATCCTGGCTCCTGTTGAGACATATCCTCAGCACTTTTTGATACCTCCTTACTTCCTGGCACTGTCACATGTCCTAGGACCATCTTCAGGAGTTGGACTCTGGAGAAGCTCGGAGTTGTAACATTTTTTTTTTAAGTAGACATGATAGTTATAGAAAACAAGATTTGTTATGCTGCGTGTGCTCATGGTTACTGGCATATCTTTGCTTCTAGGTCATCTCAATGGAATTAGATTTTATGTCTATGTTTTGCTTGTTTTATTTGGGGCCATATCCAGATGTGCTCAGGTATTACTCCTGGAGGTGTTCAGGGGACATATATGGTGCTGGGGATTGAAACCATGTTGGTCACCTGCAATTCAAATGCCCTAATTGCTGTACTAATTCTCCAGTTAAAGCTTCAGAATTTCTATCTGAGTCTTGTGTGGAAGAGAAAATAACTACTGAAGGGAGTTCAGTATTTGGTTATGTTGGCTTTTTTTGATCTATAGTTATATTATTTTCAAAAACTATATTTAAAAGTTGATTACGTTTGTTCCTTATTATTTTTATTGTGATTATGTTGTACAGTTGAATGGATTTGTTTTTCTCTTTATTCCACTTTCAAAAATTAAATTTGTAGCCGTACTTGGTGTCTAAGAGATACCACTTCATCGGCTAAACAGTATTCCAAATGTAGACTTCTCTTACTGTTATTAATAGATAACAGGGCTCTATTGCTATGACTGAGGTGACAGTGCCCAAGAGCTGTGGGAAGAAAATTAAACATGAACTGCTGATAACTTGAGCAGTCATGCCTCAGCTTTCTCCAGAAGATGCTCTTTCTGCAGGTATACAGCATTTTTTTGTTTTATTTATTTATTTTTATTTTTTATTTTTTGTTTGTGGACCACACCTGGTTGTACTCAGGGCTTACTCCTGGCTCTATGCTCAGGGATCACTCTTGGCAGGCTCAGGGGAACATATGGGGTGCCGGGAATCAAACCAGTTGATCTTCTCATGCAAGCCAAGTGCCCTAACTGCTGTGCTATTGCTCTGGCCCCCTGTATTCCATTCTTAGTTGTTTTCCTCTCAGCTTGCTAATTTGGTATATTTCAGACTTGGTTTCAAAACCTAAAATTCTTCAGTAAAGGAAATGGAAAACAATAGCTAACCAAGTACCTTCATTGGACTTTACTAATTTTCAGAACTTATTTACTGCAGTATAATTTCCTCTAGTCTATGTTTGATAACTCTGTTGTATGAAGTCTTAAGCAATCTGACTTTGTCAGCATCATGCCTGCTGGTTTTTGGTCAGTGTTTCATTTCTTTCTGAGCTCTTTGTTTTCCTTGGTACCTGGGCTTTGGTAATTCTTTGGGATCATGTATGTAGTTATGTTCCTTTGCAGGGAAATTTCATTAGTTTTTGTCAGATAATTCTAGACATAATTGGCCTTAGGCCTATTAGTAAAACTAGTAATAACCATCTTGACATATTTTAGACCACCCATTTAGTGTGAGTTCAGACTATAGTGTGGTTTGTGGTTACAAATGATCAGGGAAGAATTTTCCTCTCTATTTTAGTCCCAGGTTTTGAGCTTGGCAATATTTCTAGAACAGCAGGTTGGAAAGTGTGTAACCAATTTGGCCTTACATTGGAAGTCTAGCCTTTGGGTCTCTGGTTTGCCAACAGGTTCTAGTTAGACTCTGAATGATGCCAGGGATTTGTCTTCTGTCCCCTAGCCTTGAAGATCATATAAACCAAAGTTCAAGTCAGTTACATCCAATAAATGCCCACACGGCAAAAGTCAGTTCCAATATTCTGCCTCCCTCTTTGATTTCTTAGTTTTACTTTATGGGGAGGGAGAAGGTGGAAGGCTCTATGATTCTAATTTTTCTGTAGATCACAGAGCTATTTAGGGCAATTTTAAATGTATACCTTATCCAGCAAGAGCTCAGTTTCAGTCCTCAAAATTAGTTTTTTTTACCAGAAATGAAAATAACTTCATCACATGCTCTTTTTTCAAAAAAGAATTGTGCTCCATTCTTTAATAATTAAATATAATTACCTTATAGATTATTTGAATTATTTTATATTTTTAATTATATGTAGTTCAGACTTTATGACTTCACTTGATTTATTCTGTTCTTTTTGTTTCTGCCTGCTAGGCATATAGTAACTATTGAGTAAAATTATTGTTTGATCATCATGGGTATCTGTTTTTTTATTGATAAAGGAAGAATGAATCTCTTTTTCTAAAATATCTTATGGAGGAGGGCAAATATTCTAATTGGAGAGATTTTACTGAGATTTTGGAATTTTTTTCTCTTTCTTTCTTTTTTTTTTCTTTTTGGGACACACCCGGTGATGCTCAGGGGTTACTCCTAGCTCTGCACTCAGGAATTACTCCTGGCAGTGCTTGGGGGACCATATTGGATGCTGGGAATTGAACCTGGGTTGGCCACATGCAGGGCAAACGCCCTACCCACTGTGTTATCGCTCCAGCCCTGGAATTTTTCAATATCTATATGTATGCTTGGAATTTTTCTATATTATCATGGAAACATAAAATGGTCTCGGGTATTTTCCAGTAGAGATAAGAGTTTAAGTCGCAGGGACACATGGTTCCTCTGTAGGTTCCTTTGCAGATAGGAAGCAGAAGTGGCACTGGCAAGAGATTATTATGAGAAGAACAAATGTATGAGTAATACGAAAAATATTAAAGTCAAATTATGCCTTAAATTTCAGTACTTGAACCTAAGCTTTTCTATACTTGGTACTCTGAAGAGGCAAAACAAACAATGGAATGTTCTGAGAGGGAGAAGGAGAGTGAAGGAGAAAAGTGGAGGATAGTTGAGAGAGAGAGAGACAGAGAGAGAGAGAGAGACAGAGACAGAGACAGACAGACAAATCTATACTGTTCTTAAAGACCAGTTTAATTGTATTGCTCTATTCTATTTCCAAGTTTTTATTCTTATTTTCTTTTGAATAATGTGACTTTGATTTTCTTTGGCTAGGTAGAATATAACCCATTATTAGCCTGTATTTGTCTTGCTTAGTTTGATTAGTGATAAAGGTAAAGGTAAAGGCCCTCCCGTTGATCGTCGATTTGCTCGAGCGGGCCCAGTAACGTCTCCATTGGAGACTTTGTTGTTACTGTGTCTGGCATATCGAATACTCTTGGTAGCTTGCCAGGCTCTCCGAGAGGGGCGGAGGAATCGAACTCGGGTCGGCCATGTTGGCCGCTTGTAAGGCGAACGCCCTACCCGCTGTGCTATCGCTCCAGCCAAAAACTTTACTAAAACTATTTAAAACATAGAGACTTCAGTTTTAATATTCATGGTAGCAGCTGATTTGGGGGGTGGCTGCCAGATAATGCTTCTAAAGACTGTAATAACTTTCTTAACCCTGGTGTCCCTTTTGATTGTGCTTGAATCATGAACTCAAGTTAGTATATACATACAAATGTTCTTGCTCTTCCCACAGAGAACCCAAAAGAGTGATCCTGGTAGCAAAAATTATACCCAATCTCTAGATTGTTGTTTCTAATATCATTCCCCAATAGCTCTTTGGGGGAAATACTCAGCTCTAGAACTGGAGTAGTAAATACAGTCTCTACTTAACATCACTGCAGATTCTTGGAAATGGCAACTATAAGCAGAAATTACATGTAGCCAGTTCAGTAACTGACAGAATTTTTTCTTATCAATATTACAACAAAATAGCATTGAACAAAACACCAATCAAAGATTGGTTGCATATAAATCTAGAAAACATTCCAGTGCCACAGCAAAAGCACTAAAACAAATCCACATTAATGTGGGTATGTTTAAGGGACACAGGATTTTGGTGAGTTTCTACTGCCCAAATTTGAAACAATTTGAACAATACAATAAGTAATATTGGATTGTAGCACAAAGCGTAATATAAATTTCTATGGATCCATGCAGTTATAAAATAAATCACGATCACGATCATCCTGTTGTTCGTCGATTGCCTCGAGCAGGCCCCAGTAACGTCTCCTTTGTCCTAGCCCTGTGATTTTAAAAAGTGCCATATTCAAGGCTCTTTCAGGGTTAGGAGAATGAGACCCATCATTGTTACTGGTATTTGGCATATTGGGTACGCCACGGGGAGTTTCCCAGACTCTGCCGTGTGGGCAGGTAGCATTCGGTAACCTGCCAGGTTGTCCAAAGTGAGAATGAGATAATAAGAAGTTGCGCGGCTGCGTGCTTCCAGGAGCTGGGTTTTATAGTCTCTGGGTCTAGAGACTATAAAATAAATGAGGAATTAAAAAAAAAGTAAGATTAATTTCCTATGGAGAAGAATTATATATGTAACTACTCTGCCTTCAAGGAGAGAAAGCTGAATTTTTCTCAGCCTATCAGCTGCACATAATTACTTCTTCCCAAAGAATTCACCACAGAAAGGAGAGGAGAGGAGAAGGAAGAAGCATAGAAGAACTCTAAAATACACTACATCAGCTATAGAGGCACCCAAAAAGATATACCCACAGTGGTATCCTGGAGAGGATCCTGGGACAGATTAAAAACGGGGTAAAAACTAGGGAAAATCTGGATGAAATCTGAGCTTAATTAGTAAATATGTATGACACTAATTTACTGAATATAACAGATTTATGACCCTTGTATACAAGATGGTAGTAATAAGGGAAACTGGGTGAAATATATACGGACTCTCTTTGCGTCTCAGTTTTTGTTGAAGGTCTAATAACTGGGTGGTTTCTGTCACTCCTGCAGTTTTGAGAGTGTTTGCTGCCTTGCTGAATCCACTTCTCTCTCAGACATCACTTTTGATGGCAATCCAATAGCTCAAGAGTCATGGTACAAACACACTATCCTTCAGAATATGATGCAGCTGCGCCAGCTGGACATGAAGAGAATCACGGTGAGAACTCTTTGCGCTTGCCATGAAGTTTTTCCAGGTTGTTTTCCTTAGTTTGGAGTAGGAGATAGGGGTACATATTGTTTGCTTGAAATACTTTTTAATTTTGATGAATTATGGATTATCTGTATATTTAAATTCTCCACTTTTTATTGATGTATCTTTAGTTCGCATTATAGAATTTCAGCAATATAATGCCTCTCTCTTATCAGTGTGCGTGTGTGTGTCTCTGTGTGTGTGTGTGTGTGTGTGTGTATATATATATATATACATATTTATATGACTTACAGCATTCACTATCAAAGCCACAGCACCACCACAGTACCTTAGAGGACCTTTCTTTTCATTCCTCTCACCCAGCCCCCTTTTTTTCCCAGTAATCTCCATAGTTTTCACTGGATCTAAAAGTTTGCTCATTTTTCGCTGTAGTTTCCTTATATTACACATGTGAGTGAAACTATCTGATAATTGTCCTTTACTTCCTTAATTATTCCTCAAGGTATAATTATCTTAAGTTTTATAATTTTTTGCTTTGATGGTACAATGTCATCTTTTGATGGCACAATGTCATCTTTTAAATAGCACAGTAGTAGTTCACTGAGTATATTTGCACCACAATCTTTCTACCTAGTCATCTGCTCATGGCATTTATATTGATTCATTGTTTTGTGTGTTGTGAACCATAGTTTCACATACAATTTGTGTTTTCATATCTTTCAGTTCAGTGCCTGGGAGTAATATGACAGGATGCACTGTTTTGCTTTACATATATATATATATATTTTTTTAAATTTTATTAGTGACTCACCATGAGGTACAAATACAGACTTACAAACTTTCATGCTTGCGTTTTAGTCATACAATGGTCAAGTACCCATCCCTCCACCAGTGCCCATTTTCCACCACCAATGGTCCCAGCATCCCTCCCACCACCCCCACCCTGTCCTCTCTACCCTACCCCGCCTCTGTGGCAGGGCTTCCCTTTTGCTCTCTCACTCCTTTTGGGTGTTGTGGTTTGCAAAGAGTTATTAAGTGGCCATCATGTTCAGTCTATAGTCTACTTTCAGCCCGCATCTCCCATCCCGAGCAGGCCCTCCTAACACCCTTTACTTGGTGGTCCCTTCTCTATCTGAGCTGCCTTCTCCCCCAGGATGTGAGTCTGGCTTCTAAGCTGTGGAGTAATCCTCCTAGTACTTATCTCTACTTTTTATATTTTTAAAATTTTTGATGTGTTGGAGTTGAACCCGGGTAGACACATGCTCTACCACTGACCTACATTCCCAACCCTTTTATTTGTTTTTTTAAATTCTTATTTTTTGTGAAATTGAGCATTTGCTCATGTGTCTTTGGGCCATCTGAGAGGTACCTTTTAAGGCTTTATGCTTGCTTTTTGATTGGGTTGATTATTTTCACAGGTACTCAGGCCTATTTTTGCTATTGTTGTTGTTAAGTTAGTAAGGTGTAGAATGGGCCAGTGGTATTCAACTTGTGTTGAAAGTGTGCAGGGGAATGGCTGCTTTGTGTTTCTGGCACTGACGGTACCCATGTTGTTAGAGGGAAGATCTGAGACTTGGCAGTCTGTCTTTTTTTTTTTTTTTCAATTTATTTATTGAATCACTGTGGGAAAGGTTACAAAGCTTTCAGGTTTAGGTCTCAGTCATGCAAATATCAAACACATTTCCCTTTACCAATACTTATTTTTTACCATGAAGAACCCCAGTAAGACCCCACCCCCCACCCCTCCCAGTCCCTGTGAGGCAGATGAATTCTAGTTAACACTCTGTCTGCTTTGATTAGACTCATTGTTTCATTAAAAGATTCACCACTATTATTTAGAGTTTACCCCCCCCCCCCCCCCCAAAATCAGACATGCTGAAAAAGCACTGTGAAGTGATTTGCTTTCTACAGCTGGGTTCAAGAATTAAATGTTGGTTTTGGATTTCTGCTATTTTACTTATTGACCCTGGAAGTATTTCTACTGAAAGTCAGATAGTTACGAAATTGATTTCTGTGCTCTGGAGTCGTGGCCGTGCTGGAGAGCCGCTCGCGGGGGGGGGCAACTGGTGACCTCGGTAGGGCGTGAAGGATGGACCGAAACGCCCCCCTTCCCATGAGGTTTTAGTCGCCCCCACACCCCCGGCTCATACCTGCTGTCCACAAGGCTCCCATGCGGCCGCCATCTTTCTTTCCAGGGAGGAAAGGGCGAATGGGGCAACACCCTTTCCCCTCCGGACAGACATGATGGCCTGGATTAACGCATAGTCCTTTCACTTTTCTGCTCCAAGCTGCTGGGTTCTGCATTAAGTCCTTGTGCTTCTGGGGCCGTGGCTGTGCTGGAGAGCCGCTCGCGGGGGGCAACTGGTGACCTCGGTAGGGCATGAAGGACGGACCGGAACGCCCCCCTTCCCATGAGGTTTTAGTCGCCCCCCCACACCCCCGGCTCATACCTGCTGTCCACAAGGCTCCCGTGTGGCCTCCATCTTTCTTTCCAGAGGGAGGAGGGCGGAAGGGAGCAACACCCTTTCCCCTCTGGGCAGGGCAGTCTGTCTTTTGTAAGCTCAACTTCTGATCAGAACGAGCCCATAGCATGGGGCCATGCTGTCCACATGGGTGCTTTGTTGTGCGTCTTGCCAGAGCCCTGGTCTGAATGGAGTTCTTTAGATCCTCCATATGGTGTCACCTGGGGCCAAGGATGTGTGTCTCCACATTGTTATTTTTCTCCCTTCCCCAAACCCCTGCCTGTGTCTCATTCCCTACACTGAAGCTTCTGGGTGATTCTCTCCTCCCGTCTTTTTGTTCAGTGAAGTATGAATCGCCTCCTTGTCCACCCTGGTGTAGTCTATATTGTGTTCTCAATGGCAAGGGATGCTTCAGTCTCACTCCCAGCTGTGGGAATCGCTCAGTATCACGTCATTATGGTTCATTGTTAGTTGTTCCTCTTGGGACTGAAGCAGGGCACTCCTTTAACACCATCTTTGTGACACTTTTCCTATATCTGGAGGTATTGACATGAACCCTGATCAAAATCAGACGTTCTATTGTTGGATAACACTGGGTTGTCCATGCTCCGAAGAAGCTTAAGGTTTATTGAGCCACTCCCACAACAGTGCAACTGAGGCACACCCAATTCCACCAGCCACTAATAATCCTAAATTGCTTTTCTTTTTCCCTTTATGTCATTTGTATGATTTATTTAGCAATGTCCTTATTGCGTAGACACAGGAAGACAGTTGATGCTATGCTATATAACATGGGAGTTAATTGACTCCAAAATAATATTTACTCCTGGGCATCCATATTTACTTGACTTAAGCTTCAATTGCCCTTAGTTCCTAGCACTCCAAGAGCAGGGTCCCAATGAGGGATTGATGGACCCAGGGCAAACTGTGAGCTACCCTGGCATGGAAATGGGCCAGGCCAAGTGCCATAATACTTAACTGTAAGTTAAAAGCATGGTCATGGCCAAACTCTGTCATGACCCCAAAAGAGGTGACGGAATAAGGATCTCGCTGGGTTAGGAAAGACTAACCTGGCCTGAGGACTGTGGTCTGGAATATATAGTGAGATGTTCCCAGGAAGCACCAAACTAAGCTTGATATATCTCTTACTGTGCTCTTACAAAACGATATTGCTAGGAATATTATAAGAAGTAAATTTACTATAACTTTTTAAATGGATTACTACCTGAGGAAAGAAGAAAGCAACATACCCTGGATGGAATCCTGCCCTTGGGCAGATCTCCTAATAATCTGGAGTAATCTCTCAAGATTTTGTCCTTGAGTTAATCTATGAAGGAATGGCCTTTTCCTGTATTTGTTGTTATGATAATGTTCAGCCCTGCTTTTGTATCCCCACCATACTTAATTGCTATATAACTATGCTGTAAGGGGCTAAGGGCAGAAGAGAAGACTTAAGAAGACAACTAGAGAAGACTTAGATAGAAAGATGAAGACTTGGGGAAAGAGAAGACAACAAGAGATTAAGAGAGTAGACTTGAGATAGAGGGCAACGACGTGAGAAGGAAAAGAGAAGGATGAAGACTTGTGACTGGAAGAGACTTGTGGCAGAGACTCCTGACGGACAGATACTTGTGGCTGGCAGAGAAACTTGGAGGAGGTAGAGTGGACTCTGGGAAGTAGATGCTGAGAAGGAGACAGTGAAGACTAGAGATACTGAAGACTAGATGTTGAGGGTGAGAAGATTGACGATGAGACACTGAAGACAAGGAGAACTGAGGCTTTGGAGACTTTGAGGTCTGTGAGGAGACTAGGATGATGGAACTCTGATGACTGGGACTACGGCCAAAACAACGACTAACACCACACCATAAAGGTTTTTCTCTATCTCTATCTCAACCAGCCTGGGGCCTTGTTCCTGTTTTGCTGGTTCCATTGCCCGTCCTTGGCCCATCGTCCGGCCTGGGGAGGTGGCTCTCGGTCCATTGAACACTCGGGTTCTGTGTGTCACCATCCGTCACCTCACCTATCCTTCGGGCCCACAGTCTTTACCTTTTATTGGAACTTAGACTCTATGATAACCCATTTTAGGTGGATATTTCATAGACTATTAGAGAACTAGTATGACAAAGGAATTTGCCTTCATTATCTTAGTGCATCCCAAATTTATTTGGTTATTTTATTTTCTCATCAGATACCTATTAGCAATTGCAATTTGATCATCTTGGATCTAGAAAAATATCTGAGCATCCACTTATTTTCTCATGTTTAGACCTTGCTATTTTAGAATCCGCTATTTCCCTTTGAGTGACCCACTAGATTTATTACTTGCCACTTGTTCACTGCAAAGTGTGGACAGCTTGCATTTCTGCCTAAGCAGTATTATGGAGATCCATGTGTCTCGCAAAGACCCGACAGTGTTGTGACTCCCTGAGCACTTGGGGTTCTGGGACTCTGTCTTTTTGTTCCAGAATGGAGATAGAGTTCTTCAACTACTGAGTTTCTTCAGATCTGTGCTCTCAGCACAGTTTCATACTTTTATTCTTA